AACGATCCAAACCAGTACAGCTGTTCTTAGGCTTGACATCCAGCCACAGCGGTTGACACTTAAATGGCAGAATTCACATGCCTGCTCTCAAAACTGCACCCTGAAAGCCTCTGCTGGTTATCCATGAACGTTTTACACGTCTGAAAGTTTTCTGAGCACCTGCAATTGCTCAGGAAACTTTCTCATTGCCTTTCTTATTAAGCTGCATTAATATCCATTATCCAGGAATTCCTCTGCTTAAATACTCCTGGGACTTATCCCCATGGGCTGTGCACAGCAGCAGAACACTCCCCCCCCCCCCCCCCAGCAGCTCCATGTTGGGGCAGCACTAGTAGCTTCCACACTGCTTTGTATAATGACGGAGAAAACTGGTAGCTTTTTGGGTGGTTTTACAGGAGAGATGTTAGTGAAGCCCCTGGCAAATGGGAATTTCTCACTTGTTTTGCCCTTGTGGGGCCCCACAGCCAGATTCCAGCACCCACTTTTCCCAGAATGACAAGGTTACAAAACCATGGTGCCTTCTGTGAGTACTTTACACGAGGCACTGGATCCTCTGCTAGCCCAGCTTGAACAGAATGGATACAGCATTTCCCCAAATAACTTTTCATCTTACAGTGAGGCAACACCTTCAAGAGATGAGTTAAAACCCATCCTCCACTATGGTGGGTAAGAGTAGGAGGTGCCCTAAAAACTTTTATTTTGGCAGGGAACTTTATAAAGCTGGATCCTTTATGGGTCTGGCCTGTGCCACAGTGGATCAGACTACACATCCTTCCTCTGCCCATAGTGAGTGCCAGCACTCTCCCAAGAAAAGCCAAAATGTATGATGAAGGGACACCATGCAATTGCCTTCTTGCTAGAGACAAATTTCTTCCTAATCCTCATGAGTTACTGGTTGGATTTTGCCTTGAAACTAAAGGGCTCATAGCTTTTATAAATGTTTATTCTATCTCCACAACAGTCTGGAGTTCCCCTTAGCAACATTAAAATTAATACAAATAAATAAATAAATAAGGCATGATTAGGACAACCCAATCAAGTCCAAATTAGATCAACACATTCTGTGAACGTACGTGGCATATTTGCTGGCCACACATTTTCTCCTGAGCCTATGTGCTCCCTATGGTCCTGCTCTCCCATGGCCATCCCACTTGCAAAGAACAGCAGCAACCAGCAGCAGTGCAGAACCCAACCATTCTTGGTAAATATCACTAAATCCGGCCAGGGACAAAGGCTTATGAACTCATGGTAACAGGATCATTAAAAATGATTATCAGTTTTAATTTCTGTTTGGAACTATAGGGTCTCAGCCTCCTGCTCCCCTCCTGCAGCCCCAATGCTCAACACGACTGCCAGCCCCATCCACTGCAGAGTGTCCCAAAGCTGTGTGACTGAACGCTCCACTGCTGTGTCTGGAAGGCTTCATCGTCCAAACACTGTCAGGAGGTGCCAACTCAAACAAGAGAGAGAGCAAGCAAGGCGCAGCTCAGGGAAATGGGCTTCTCTTCTCCCCCTGCACCGAAGGAAATGGAGCGGCACGTGGCACCGGCCCGATGGCCCCCCTTTCCCGAGAGAGGCACTGAGGCGGGACAGCTGCAGGTGCAGAAAATCCACGGAGCTCGAGTCTCCCCACAGATTTCCTATGCTCCTTCCAAAGTCACAATGTTTTAATTGATATTTCTTGTGAGAATTCAACAGGTGCAACATAAATCCCACGGATTGTGCTGAATCCCACAAAAACTTGACTTTCATTTTGAAAAGGGTCGGGGAGGGGAAGAGGAGTTTTCTTGCTCTTTCGGTTTTTAGCCTTGAGCTATATGAGACAGAAAAAATGCTGTATTTGCTCAAAGTGCTGCCAGATTAAAATAAGCAGCTATTCATCTTATTTTTCTGAAAGGATGGTTAACTCATTGAGAAAAACTCTTTGACTGTAAAAATACATTCGGTTATAGCAAAAGTATAATAGGGACAAACTTGGCTTCTCCTTATATGTATTAGAATCGGGGGGAAGCTTCTACATCCATCTCTGCCCCTTCAGATATACTCCGCAAAGCAGATGGGCCAGCTACAGTGTCAAGAAGAGAACCTCTGGATTTATGGATACACACCAGAACCCTCTTAAAAGCAGATAACAGACCCGTTCTGCCATAGTTTTAGTTATGAGGTGAGAGGTACTAGCGGTAATGAAGGTAGATGTCACAGCATATGATTTCTTTAACATTAAGTTGTGATATATCTCCTCTTGGTTTACTCTCTACTTGATGGATGGCTCAATATCTTCAAGGCTCCACATGGTACATAGATAAACAATGAAACGATAGGGAAGCAGATGTTGGAAATAAAGACAGACTTCCACTTCTCATTTTTGCAATTGTGCCTGTATAATGTTTCTCTAAAAGAATTCCTGATAAGGGCTTGTTGGAGGGTTTGGAGTTACTTTTTGTTTTTGTAGAACAAAACAAAACAAACACACCAAAAAAAAAAAAACCAACAGCTTTTTAAAATGTTAATCCACCTCAAAACATTGTGACACTAAGAAAACCACATTTCTAGAATTTAGGAAGTGAGCAAACTGATAAACAACAGATCTGCCAGTTCTTCTTCATTCTCCTGTACCTTTCACAGATACTTTCAGTTACCTTTAATTACTTTTACTCTTTTACCTCAGTCACAGTTATTTGGTTTGACTGCCTGACACAGGTATCAGACTGATGTGAATCCAGCCCAACAGTCCCCTATAAGAAGGAACAGGGGTATACTAACTGACAGCTGTCTATTAACTGATGGGTGAAGTGTATACCTTTAGGAAAGAAGCAAAATATCTTTTAAAATCAATGTTAATGCTACCATAAAACTGTTGGTAGTAGTAATACAATACACTAACAATGATAATAATGACAAAAAACTTTCTTAGAATATATTGAAGGATCTTTAAGCCCTATGATATTAGTTTCACTTAACACTGTGATGCATGTGACTTTTAAAGTAGAAATAATATTAAACTAGGTAGAAGGGTTGGTCCTTCCAGTCTTTGTTATATTACCAAAGGCAAGAAATTGTTTTATTTTCTGCAAAAATTTTTAAGATTTTCACTGAGAATGAGAAGTTGAAATCTCAAAAATTTCTCTAAAATAAAATCTAAAACAAAACTAAACACCCGAAAACCAAAATATGAACCAAGCAAGAAACACTTACCTAACTCCTTTGTAGTGCCTTTTGTCTATACCTTGGCTTAAATGCAGATTAAAAATTAAATTGCTTTATTTTGACTTTCTAGAAACTTTTTCCTGATTTTTTTTTTAAACAGAATATTGATGAAAATGGATATTTTTCAACATAGTGTATGTTGATGCATTGGGCTTTTTTGACAAAAAGACTATTTGAGAGAATTTCCTGCTTGATTCTAAGTAGTCTTTGCTCTTCTCTAAAAGCCTGAAGAACTCTAAAACGTGGCTCTTTTACTGTACAGGTCCCCAAGCATGTCACTGCTAGAGTCAGCATCAATATCCTCAGTGCCCACACTGGAAGAGTGAGAGACAGAAGAGCCTCAGGACAAGCAACAAACTGGCCATGAAGTTGAAAAGAGAATTTTTTCCCGCTTGTTCTATGTTGGTGCTGTGATGTCTTCATTGTGTGACCAAAAAAATAGGTCTCCAAACTGATTTACTTTGTCTTTACACTTGATACAGGATTGATATATCTGGTTTTGTAAGAGAGGGGGACAGTAAAACCCTTCTCTGAGAAGCAGGAGTTGTGAGATGATCTGCTGAGGGACTTAGGTGATGTAAGGGTGTCCAGAGAGAGTGGGGTTGAGCACATCCCTCCTTATTTCCCCCCAACAAAACAGATTAATTTAAATTTATAAAGAACACAAAGCTGTGAGAATGCTACCTAAAGTTTAACTCAAGAGCAAATGGAAAGTTTAGATAAAAGTCTTTCAAGGAAAAATAATGATCAGAATTACAGTAGAAACAGTGAAACAGTTGCTATATGGATAAGGCAAAATATTTGACAAGGAAAACATCTCTGAGAAGAAAGCACAAGGGCAGAGCTATTATAGCCTCTGAGGCCTTTTCCCTCAGACTTCTTATCCTATAACATATTTCTAAAACACAACACCCACAACTGTTTTTCTTCATCTATCAAAGCATAAAATTGCCAATCCTTTGACCTAACTTAAATCAAGGAAGTAGCAATGTTAGGTTTAATTAAAAACAGCAAATATTTGTACAGCTGTCCCTGGTTTCACAGCACAGAAATAGGTTTAGCATCAAATCTTACAGTTTTAAACCCTCTGGGAACCATATACAAAAACATATAGGATCCTTCTGGCGGACTTGCCAAAGCCAGAAATGCCTTTTTTTGGAGTTATTTCAGGTGGGGCTCATTCAGCCTTCCCGTTTCCAACCCACTGTTTTCCTACTCGAGATTTTTTTCTTTTTTTCCCTGTGTGCCAAATGCAGCACTGTCAGGCTGACAGGTTTGGATGCATTTGATGCATTTAGGGGTTGTGAGTAATAATAGCAATAAAACCAAGATAGGCTGAAAAGTTTTGATGGAAACCATGTCTGGGCACTTCCAGTGGTCGGTGTCACTTGGAGGCACCTGGTGTGGGATGCAGGAGCCTCCACCAGATCCATGCTGATCATCCCTGAAGCCAGGAGGGGTTTGAAAGGAAATCTTTTCCTTCTGGCCCTTGCTCCCCTTTTAAATTCCTCATTGAAGCACACTGTAAAATCCTTCAGCACCCAGCTTTATAACGCTGCCTTCAGAGGGCAGAGGCCGCTCCTTGAACGGGCCAGGCCAGCGGGGAGATTTACGCCACGCCCCGCTCTACACCCGGCCAGGGATGCGCAAACCTCCCCCAAAACTGCCAAAATGAGCCTAGGGTGGGACAGGGCAAGTGGCCACCCACTGCGGGGTGAGAGATAAGGAGGAGGGAAGGGGACTAGCAGGGTTTAAAAGGTTGCAGCCAGGCCTGGAGCTAGGAAGGGAAGCTGATGGCTGGCCCAGCTGCTCTGCTTGAGTCCCTTGAGCACCAGGCAGGGGCTCTCCACACCCTCCGGCTGGTGTGTAGAGGCAGGGAGGCTGCCACAGCCTCACATCTTCCCCTCAGTCCCCCACAACCTTCCCTGCCCCAAACCAGCAGTGCTGGCAGTCCTGGCCCAGCTCAGTATAGCCCAGGAGGGGAGATGGAGGTAGCCAGGCTTGGCCAGGCTTTGGAGCTGAAAGAAGAGAGAAAAGCCCTGGGGAAAACTCCTGAGGAAGATGAAGAGACTGGAGAACTAACTCCCCTCAGCCCAGGTGAGCCCAGGCCACACAGACTGTCCCAGCCTGGGCTGGTGAGGAATGAGACCCTTCGAGAGATGGCTCTGCGCAGCAAGCTGTCCCGAGTAGTTGATGCTACTTCGAGACTCATAGAAGTAGAGCAGACCCTCTTGCTCCCTCTCATACAGCAGCATCCTTTTCCTCTCCATCCAAAAGTAAGTAAGAGAGACATAGAAGAAATCATTTTTTTCTCTCTCTCTCTTTTTTTTTTTTTTCCCCAAGTTTTTTGTTTTTCTTTGTGCCATGTGGACTGGAAGAGTTTCATGCCAATTAATTTTCATTTAAGCCTATAGCCTTCAATACAGTCAAAAAAACTACTGATTGTTCAGTATAATTGCATCATGGGGGTTCAAACCACTTCTTATCAGAATGAAGCTTTGCTCACATGCTGAGTAGCCTGGAAAGATTGCTTAGAGCTTTTTCAAAAGCTGGTTTTAACCTCTTTCCTAAAAGAGCCAAAAAACAACACCACAAGATGCAGCGATGACCAGTAACCTGCAAGGGAAACACGACCAACCAGCAGAGCTCATGGCTGTTCCATAATGATACACCATACATCCAGCATGTGAGACCCAATGAACATTTACCTGAAAAAAATCCACAGTTTGCTGAAAAATGCAATAATTATGTGTATTAACCCAGGAGGAAATTCAAGAAAAAGCCTAGATATGAGCTTGCAAGTGATGGGTTTAAGGGTTAGTTAAGGAGTCTGATGTGTCTGATTTCAAGTCAAATTACTTTGGCATTGCCCCAAAACTTTTGCCTTTGGATGAATCTTGAGTGTACCATGTAGAACAAGATGGCAGCTCTTAGCCAATTTTTGCTAGCAGAGGTGCATTCCACAGAAACCCCATTAGTAGTTGGCACCAATTGCTGGGCCAGTTAAGCTACAGATAAATCTGATCTTTTATGTTAACCTTTCCAGCACAGACCAGCACAGTGTGGAAAGCTGGGGGGAGAGGTAGGGAAGCAACAAAGAATTAGCTAAAAAGTCTTATCTGGTGGATAAATATTTGTGAATAAAACTTTGCTATGGCTTCTCAGTTTCTGTGATGAATTTGAGATATTGCCAGACACTGTTTCCACAAGTGCTTGATCAATGTGCAGAGTCTGACTGGCTTTGTTGAAAAGCCAGTTTTGTTGTGAAAAATCAAATCCAAGCTATCTCAAGATACAATTCACTATTCAGCCACCAAGAATCAGAAGCAACCTTTGGAACTGTGGGTCCAAATCACCTAGAGATGGAAGGTGTGATATTGGAAGCTGTATATGAGTGTGTTAAAAATCGGCTAAAACTGTTAGATAACCCTCTTCAGAAATGAGGGTAGAACGATAGGCTGGACTTCTGTAAAACCAATTTTCCAGTAAGACTTCTTCATTACTTGTAATTTAAAATAAAGAAGACTAATGGCATTTGTTTTTGTACAAACAAATGCTGGATTTATGAAATACAGCCATCTCAATGAAGATTTTATTTTCTTCCTCTTCTTTCCTAGAATTACTTTAATATTACTTTTGTAAAAGTATGTGTTTAGATACCACTGGGAATACAGTTTACTTTGGATTCTGGTTTTCCTATTCCATTCGAAGTTAAGTTAATTTATATTTTTTTCACTGAAAACCCATTATCATGACCCATTGAGCTCCAGGACTTTTTCCCCTTCCCTTTTACAATACAGTTACATCAATTTTGCGCTAGGTTTACGCAGACTCTGCATTATGGATAACTGACCCCTTAACTGCGAGTAGTTTCACTGCTGCAGATTTGATTTTGAAGCAAATTGGATTTCAAGGGATCCATTTATATTATAACCTCTTCATAAATTCAGATGAACAAGCCTTTAAAAATAAGCTCTTAGCCAATGAGTTGGCCAAGATCCCTTCAACATGGAAGCCCATGGTAACATATCCTTCCAGTCACTGTTTTTAGAAGGAAAACTCTGGTTTTATTGCTCAGAGATAATCATGCATGCTAATAGTCAGTATCTGGTACTTCTTGTTTCTTGATATATTTGTGCCTCTTTCTGGGCCTTCTTGACAATCCTGACTTTACTGTTTCTCATTTGTTTTGGGATTGTTCCTTGGTTGTGTGTTTTTTTGTTTTTTGTTTTTTTTTGATCGGTTTATGGTATTGATATTGGTTTATCAACTGAACTGGTTAAAAAAAAATATATCATTCTATACAATGGCCCCAAAATAGATAGACATAGCTTTGAAGGAAAAGAAGACTTAAGGAACTGGAGGAACAACACTTACATTGCCCATTGCCTGAAAGTACTGGAAATATGTTCTGCTGTGTCCCAGTACATGTTAGACAGCATTGGCCCTTAACAATTAAAAGGTGGGTATTAACTTCTAATGAAAAGTGACACCTTTGCAAGAATTTGGAGCAAATCCTTTGCTAGTGACAGCGAGCATGTCATTACTGATTTTGCATGCAGCACAGCCGCAAAGAGGCTGCTTAGCCATGCTGTCTGCGTGAAGATGGGAGGGCAAAAGGCCCCTTTCCCCCTGCCTTGGGACACTGACGACCGCATCGCCCCGCTGCCTGACCAGCTGTTTACTGGCATCAGCACCCACAAGAAAATCCTCGTGCCTGCTGCCTCCACAAAGGCTCCCTGTAATAACGTCCGCACTTTCTCTTCCGTAATTACACACTGCCAAGGCGAACAGAACGGCCTTTTTTAACGCAGGGAGAGATTCGGTATTTTAAGCAGCAATTTGAGTGCATTTGAAAAGGAAAAATAAAAGGTAGAAAAGCTTCCCGAAATAGCAGCGTGTGGCTTGCCCTGGCTGTGCTCAGGTGCAGCTATGCATTACTCCAGCTTTTTGATAACATCCTGTCTCCTTCACTGGAGTTACCAAGGGGTCGCTCGAATGGTACTAAATCAGAAATGTGTCGCGGGTTGGACTGGGCCAATCTTGATGGCAGCCAGCAGGGAGTGGAATATAAATCATACTAAGAAGTTAAAATAGCCGTCCCGTTTGCAAAACAGTCATGGTATTTTCTTTAAAGGGGAAAAGAAAATACTGTCTTTTAGAGGTGCCAGATTGGCAGGGCAGGATAATAAAAAAACTTCTGACTGTGCAAGTTTCTCCTGCCCCTGTGCTGCGGTGCTGCTGCTCTGCTGGCTGTGGAAGAAGGAGGAGGTCAGGTTGGCAGGCTCTGCATCAGCAGACCTGCACATTACCATAATCCCCTTGCCCTAAATCTTCCATTGGGGTGAAACAGTGCAGCTGCTGTGAAGTCAGCCCAGTGGCACTTGTACTGGGAGCAAGTTGCTTTGCTGGGACTTGAGCAGTGGCATGAAGCAGCCCTGCTGAGCTTCCCTCAAGCTTTTCCTGTTGTATTGAGACCCGTACCTGGGGAGCAATAGAGAAAAAAAAAACAAGTTCAGTGCTGACCAAAAAACAGCACAGCATCAGACATTGCTGTGTCTGGCCACAGGTGGACCCAGAGGTATCGTGCTCCCTGGCAGAGCAGCCAGCAAAGTCTGGTGCAGCCAGGCATCTCTGCACAGCATGAGCACAGGGCTCTTCACCTAGGGGATCTGCACTTTTTGGGGAAGAAACAGAGAGGGGATGGCTGTTAATACATGACATATCTAATGGTACTTAATAAGCTTGTTTTCTGCTTGCTGATTTCCTGACACAAATCGGAGATCAGTTCTCAGTGACTAGTTCTTCCTTATGCAAGAGATCTGAAGACTGATTCATAAATAATGGCTTAGGGGTGACGGAAATGAGATAAATTGCTTTCATTAGAATTCGCATAAAACAGCAGCAAACTCCTCGCTTGCCACCACGGATTGAACAAATGTGCTAGCCTGCACGTTTTTCATTTTGCAGTCACTGATATTATGAAGTTGTTTCTGGACCTAATAGCTTTGAGCATTCATTTTTAAAAGTAATTAATATGAAGGCTGATCCTGGAAAAAATTGCCTCACCCTCCATAAAGTTATTTGCAAGCTGTAGGCATTAATACTCGTTTGTGTGGATATTATTTTTTTTTTTTAAATGCTGACAAATGAACAATCTGAAGTTTTTCAAGTGAGGAATTGCCTCCAAGATCTTTCTGGAAGCTCAGAGGAAATATGCCTAGGCGGTTCCATTTTATTAATACGATAGTGCTGCACTCTGCATGCATCTGCACCTGCTGTGTTAGAGAACAGCAAACCGCAGAATGAACTACACTAGGGGCCTGGGGGATTATTTTTTCTACAGAAATAGTAACTTTACGAGAAATTATTAACGACTCCACCATTTTTTGGTGGTGCATATCTTAGGAGAAATCTTCCAACTGCAACTGTTTTAGGAAACGGGGGGCAAGAGGTGGGTACTGACATGAGGTGGGGTTCATCAGTCTCTCAGAGGCTTCCCTGCAACTTATCTGAGAAGCTCAAGCTGTGTTCCCTTCAGAGTCATCACAGAGGAGGCACTTCCAATTTCATTTCATCCCAAAACAGGCATCTGAGGTCAGATAAACCATTCCTGTCTCTCCCCATTGACCACATACAGAGTCTCCAGGAAGAAAGAAGCTCAGGCTCAGACTTTTTACCCAAGGGATGCTGCAGGAATCACTTTTTAAATGAGAATTTTATTCCTCCAGGATTTGAGCCATCCTGATAAATTATTCTGGAAAAATAGTGGGGGTGAAGGCACCGAGTTACCAGGGATGGACATTAGGAGCTCTGGCACTCCAGTCCCAGCTCCCAAATTTTGGCCTGCCGACTGCGGAGAGCATCCAGCACCTGGAGCAGGGCACCACTGCTGCCACTCTGTCCTCAGTGGAAATTTTGTCTACCAGGGTGCACGGAGATTAAGCAAAAATGTTGAGGGTTGGCAGCCGGCCAGGGTCTAAAATTTGAGCAAGCTGAAGAAAAAGGCAGCTGTCTGTTAGAGCCAGCTGTAGGAGTCTGTTTGATGGGTCAGGTTGGCGTTTCAGAATAAAGTAAAAGATGGAAACAAGCAGTTTGTATCTTCTGTAAAGGAGCCTTTATAAGAGCGGCCTCTTCATAAACCTGAAGCAAGGTGGTGGATAGGATCAATTTTACGTTACAGTTCGAAAATAAAAGTTGGGCCATCAGAAACATCCTGAAACTTCAGCCTACCACTGAGTGACAACTGCATGAAACAGACCCAGAGCAGTGGAAAATTTTAAGCCGTAAATTAGAGAGCCTTGAAACCAGTAGGCCCTGCTGTTTTTATTCTGGGGGAGGTTCTTTATTAACTCATCTGTCTAAACATATGGATCTTGACAAACGAAAGCTGCAGGGAGGATCCGCTCCTGTCCTGCAATTGAAAACACTTAAAATCAAATCACTGCAGATATTCCTGTTAGCATCTCCTAAATGGCTAAATACCACACGAACCGCTGCTCTCTATCAGTTCAGCTCACAAGGGCCCTGTTTCCTGAAGTTAAAACGGAAAGAATTTTTAGTCTGAAACTTTTGCTTCAGTTAGTTACAGCCCGCTTTCACTGAAAGGAGAGAGATAAGTCAAGTTTTTATTCTCTGTCATGTATCCTAAAGCTCCCATGTGCTGGACACCTGCGAAAGCTTGCAAAGCTAGCTTGTTTACTTAGCGCAATTTATTTGACCTTTTAATATATTTGAGTAAGGATTTTATACCTAAGGCAACTTTACAGAACAGATTTGAAAGGTGACCTTCAAAGGAAACATCAAAATCTTTCTGAAAAAGGAAACTTTGGAAATATATGTGAAAAGGGCTGCTTTTTTTTTCAGCTAACCTCCTGACTCAGGACTCCCTGGCTTTTCAGCACAGGGGCGTACCAGAGCGATGAGTTCACCTTGCCCACAGCAGACCCACAAGTGCTTTGGTACAGTACCTAAGGGCCCAAGAATGGTGTTGGATGGCTAGTTTAGATATTTCCATGCTGAATACCTTCTGTTTGCTGGCTGGGGCAGCCATGCGGCACTGTTTTCAATGCTAACCCACATTTTCATCCTCCAACTGCAAACCCTTTTTGCTGTTACCATTATGAAGCTGGGATTGTCTAGGTGAAATGGAGTTCCACTTTCAAAGAAACTGGTTTCTTTGTTTCTTTTAATAACAAAGGTAAGACCCACAATTAGTCTAAACCTGCAGGATTTTAAGAAAAACATTAAAACTCAATTTCCTCTCAGATAAAAGCACAGGCTGCTACTATCAGAGCAAATACATCAAATAAAGGGGGTAAGAAATGCCACATGCCATGGGAGAAGGTGCCCCTGTCCCCCACAGTTTGTCTAGACAACTTTGTCATGCATGCGACTTTGTGAAGCCACAGATTGTGCCTGAAACCACATTTGCACATCCATCTTAGGCTGGCAGAGGCTGATCCTGCTGCCAGAAGATGTTTCATCCTCTTCACCTCCAAATGTTCATTCCCACCGTTGAGCTGCTCCTCTCTTCATGCTGACACATTCCTTTCCTAGGTCAAACCAGGCTGAGGAACCACTGTGAGTTCAAACTCTGCTTTTACCACCTGCTCCTACCTTTTTTAGGCAGGGGTAGGAGCAGATGGGTGTAGGGAGAGATGTTTTTTTTTTTAGCAGATGTGTGGAGTAGTTGTACACCAGCTCATGAACCTGCATTGGCCCTGCTCAATGGCAGGCAAAAGGTTGTCCCTGCCATACAAAGTCCTACAGCCAGCAGCACTACAGGTCCTTCAGGGGAAAACAGCTCCACTTAGATTTTTTCCAAATCACAGCAGGAAGGGCTTTCCATGAGCTGCAGAGTATGACGTTCATTGGAATGGGTGAAGGAATGCATTTGCCCCAGGCAGTGCAGGTGTTCGAGCAGCACTTCTCACACCCCGCTACATCAGAGGGACTGGGAAGCCTTCTTGTTTCATCGTGGTGTGCAACTGGCAGGGCTTTTGGGGTCGCCTGCCTCCATGGGGATGCCAGCCACGTCTCAGATGAGGGACACCACACAGAAGCAGTGCTTCAGTGAGAGCTGCTATCACAAAATGCCCTTGGGAACAACTGGGGGCTCTCCAGAGACATCTGGGTATTACAGCTTCCTGAGGTCCTACCCTTGCCTGTCAGGTTACGGGGAGTTGAATTGCTGAGGACAGCTACTAAAGCTCTGTCTGGTAGAAGCAGAACTAAAAAAAAATTTAATTGCTGACGCCTGGGGAAGACAAATGACCCTTAAAAGTGAGTAGGTGAAACTGCTACCCAAGGCTTCCTGCCAAGAGAGTTTGCAGCAGCATTTAATGGTTACACTACATGTATCTCAAAACTAAAGATGTTTCACACTAAATCAGAGATGAACATTCATGGTTGGGAGGTTTCTGCCTAGAAAATCATGCCTAGAAAGCTTGGGGGAGCATTATTTTTCACTCACTTCTTTTTGGTTTTGCTTTCAGGATAGCATTGAGTTTAGAAACATCTGTAGTCGCATGGCTTTACAAAGAGAGGGACAGCAATTTGAGAAGGATCTGCATGAAGCACACCAGTGTTTGAAGACCATCATCGAGAAACTCATTTGGTCACTGGCAGTTTTCCCCTCGGAACCTTATATCCCAGTCCGATCTGCTCTGAGACAAATCCTGCAAAATCTCCTGGCAATGTGAAGCAGCAGGCTGTTTGGCCAAGGAGCAAGTGATGCATGTGAGCTGTAACGGTCCCATAAAAATAACAGATAACTTGAAAGGTGAATCCTGGAGATCTCACCATAGCAAGAGTTCCTGCTGACTTCACTTCAGTGGAGGCTTCCCAGTGGAGATGATGTTCCCGCAAAGTACTGAATAGCCTTCTTATATCAAAACTCATACCAAAGTCATATAAATGGGAGCTGGGAACATCTCCAGAAGTTGCTCTGGAGGAACAGGAATGCGTTCTTAAATAATAAGGTCTCAAAATGAAGACCGAAAGGTAGAGGCTGAAATGACAACCATTAGAAAACTCTATTTTCATCACAGCTCAGGAGAATGTTTTTCCAAGTAATTATTTATGGAGTGGACACCTTGTAGAGACAGAGAAAATATAGGGTGTAAGTACGGACCCTTTCACGAGAAGGTATACGGCCTGCTAACACTGCAAGTAAAGACAGCCTGCTAAATCCTTATTGCATTTTACCACAGAAAGCCAACAAATCAATGGAAAGGTGAAGGTGCGGTATCTTCCACTGAGAAAAGAAAAAGAAAAAAAGAAGAAAAAATATGTGGGACCTATGGGATCAATTGCTTTAAAGCCATAAAAGGTCTTGGTAGATGATCCAGTGGAGGTGAATGGAAAGCAAAGCAAAAGAGGCATTAACACGGTGAAGCAAAGGTATTTATAAACTGAGGTGAAACATTTGTGAAGATTGCTTTGCAGAGCTTTCTCAGCCCCTGTGACTGTGTAGCAGACAGCATAAAATTCTGCTCTCCTACTGCCAAATCAGGAGGGTTTATGAAGTCACTTACTGCTGTCAAACAGCTGCAGCTGTAATGCTGAAAAGAGGCATTCCCCCCTCTTTTTGCAATAAGATTTAATGTCTGTGTGATTGCTGAGCAGGAATAACGGCTTGTAAAACTTTTTTTTCTTTTTTTCTTTTTTTCTTTTTTTCAAAGGGGTAAATTAAGCTCCTTTTAACTGTGATTTGGGTAGTAGTAGGTGAGGGAATTTTGTAGACTAAGAGATAGAAAAGTATCTCTTTCCATTGGCTAGAGGAGTGAATTTCCACGTGTGATTTTTTCTTTCTTTCTTTCTCTCTCTTTTTTTTTTTTTTTTAAATGTGTGATCATGAACATCATCAGCTGAATACTTTCCGAGTGTGGTTCCATACTCTGATTGATTTGCCATATTTTATGTTCACACTTTAAATGTTACACTGGTGTCATTCTCACAGCTATAATTAAGGCTACCTCAAAACACTTATTCACTGGCTCTTAGTGCGAATGCAGACAACTGCCCCAGGTTGAAATTTTGGGGGATGTTGCAGCTCAGAATTCATTTAGACATGGGAAGAAAAACCATGAAGGTTGGGTCAGAACCATGTATCTCCTTTTTGTTTTCTTTTTTTTTCTTTTTAATGTGACTCTCTCCCTCAAGGGAACTGGGGAAAAGAGCTCTGTTGGCAGCAAAATATGGTGGTGTTTGCCGAAATGTTGTGATCTCCAGGGCAACTCTGAGCCCAATAGCAGGCAGCAAACAAACCAAGGGGCTCTGGGCTGGGTTCGCACAATGGTGTTACACGCATCCCTGCATTGGTATCTGCCGACACTGACACCACCCTTCATGGCAGAGGGACAGAGGCCTGAAGTCCTGTGAAATGAGCTTTTTGGCCATTTTCAACCAGGAGAGGAAACCTGAGTGAAGGCAGCTTCAGCTCTGAGGTGCCCCTGCTCTATGCTCTGCAGAGGGATGCCTTCACCCTCCTTCGGTGTGACAGCCACCCTCTGGATCCCTGACCCCCCAGCAGTGGCTTCAAGGAGCTGTTTCTTCATTTCCCACCATTTAGGCAAGTCTCTCTCTGTCTTTCTACAGTTGTTTCTACCAGCGTGACTCAATCTGCTCTCATGCACCAGCCCCATATTACAGTGTTTGCGTTCCTTCAGCAGGGCATTAGCCCCAAACGCAAACATTTTTATCTCCAGCATCATTAAAAAATCATTTAAAAGAAAATCTTCCCCAAGGGTTCTCTACAGTCTTCATTTCTATCCACTCCAGAGCACCACAGCCCTGGTGTGAGGACGATCAATAGCAAAATCCCATTGACTTTAGCAGGACCAGAATTAGAGCTATGCAAGGTCAAATCTCACATCATCAGCACTGCTAACAGGGTTGGCATGGGGAAGGTTCTGAATAATAATAAAAAAAGGACGATTTCAACTCCCTTTGCCCAGTCACATGCGTGCGCGCACAAAATTAATGACCGAGTACAGAGGAATGAAAACATTTGGCAGGTAATTTTCCCTTCAAGCTTCTAAGAAACTAGCAAGTGCTACATATTAAAAGCACATTACACCTAAAAAAAATACTCCGGCCACAGTTCCACCAAATTGGACAGGTTCCCTTCTGGATGGCTCTAGGCCTGTAGAGATCCCTAGCAGGTAAGAAACACAAGACCCAGAGACTTGGGGGAAATTTAGGCCTTCTGAATATGACTCTCCGTGTTATTTTACAAGAATTACTGTTTATGCTGAAAATTTCCAGAACTCTTTCTTTCCCAAACATTCCCACTTAAAATGAATATTTTGAGTCAAGGTCATTTAAAAAGAAAACACTGTTAAATTCTTTGAAATTCTGGCTAGAAATGTAAGAGTCCCGTGGGAAACCTCATCTTGCATCTGACTGTACAGCACAGGTTTTCAGGCCCTTTTCTTGTCTTCAGGACGATGGTGCAACTGAACCAGAGGGCGATGGTTTCTCAGGCCCTGAATCTGCAAACACTTTGAGTATGGTTTCATGGCTCAAAGTGCTCACGTTACTGTGGTTTAATAAGTTACCACCCATCAGCTGAGCCGTGGCAACTGCCTGCGTGCATACAATTAGCTCACCCTAATTGCAAAATGTGCAACCCACCCCCTTTCAGGAGATCAGCGCAGCTGCATGTTTATATCATGTTACCCCTTGGCACGTCTGAGGCTCGAGGCCCCGTTTCATCATACCTTAATCGAGATGAAGCATGGTAGGAGATATTTGCATCTGACATGCCCCTGGGGTGGGGATTCACAGCTCGCCTGGCTTTGTGGAGGACCCCTGCATGGCGAGCAGCCCTCCGAGCAGGACGCGAGCTGCTCTCTGCAATATCGCCTTTGCTACACGGTGGGTGAAAATCAGAGCATTGGAAAGAATAGCCTGAAATGTCTCTTCCTGCCCCCAACATGGGAAGCAAGGATGGTGCAAAGGAACCTGCTGCCCAGATATAGCTGTCCTTGAGGAATGGGGGTTATGTCACCATCTCGCGTGTCACACCCACCCCAGAAAGCTTCCTGTTCATGCTAAGATCCTCAACTTCGGGTTCTGATGGTGAATGAACACTGCTTGCACCTCTGTGATTTCATATACCCATCTGTGTTTAAAACCCTCCGTATGCGTCTCGCCTTTTCTGCCATGCTTTCCAAATGGCACCACCCGATTTAGCACAACTGTTGTGCGTATGATCCACAAAACCAGCCTATTTGGCTGGGTTATGTATTTACATCTCCTGCTACAAGGCATCTGATGAAGCAGCTTCCTCCTCCTTGCCAGTCCTTTTGGGCTTCGATGACTCAAATGCTACTCATGGGAGCAGCCATTGCTTGAATATAGGCTCTTGTTTTCTACTGGGTCTTCCTGCAGTAGCTTTTCTAAAGGATCAGGATGTTTCCCACCTGCACGCCGTGTTTCAAGCATGAGATATGCTTGCTACAGCAGGAAATTAGTGAGCAAGAAGCTGAACTGGCAAAGAAACCCCTCTCGTGAACTTACCACAGATTTTCTCTGATACGAGCATTTTCCCATTATGCCCAGCACCTGAGGCTCAGGTTAACAAATGAGGCAAAGTAGTCCAGGAAAATAGAAAACGTATATAGTAAGGCAATAAAAATGTACATGCACACCCTTTTTATTACATGTGTAGAAGTACTTTAATTTTATTTCCAATATCTAAGTATCAATGAAAATTCAAGACTGAAAAAATAAATTAGAAGAAAAGGTCAATGATTTTTCAGTAAATGTTTCTTTTTCCCTAAATAAACTTCATGCTAACTGCCCTGCATTTTATTTCAGCTGCTTGAAATAGTTTGAGATTTAAACCAGAAAAGAACTCTGGAACATTTTTCCTGAAGGTGTTAGTTTTTGCTTTGACCAGTCCCATCATCCAGGTAACCTTTTTATATCCCAGTAATAAATCTCACCTGTTGTTCACCTTTGAGCAGCACACCTGCACTCGTGAATCCCTATTTCTGGGACTGCTTTAGCCTTCCAAATCGCACAGCAGCTTCAAGCAAGCACAGCTGCTTGTTTGTCAAACATGAAAGTGCGTTTCCTTCACAGCCAGCTCCTAGATTGATGCCAGGTTAAACCTTCAATATCTGATGGACCACCACAGCTAGGAACTGAGTATTTTCAGCAAGTTTAAGCTGTATATCCCATTTCTCAGAAGTGCCTGTCGCCGTGAGCCTATTCAGACAATTCAGAGGTTGCTACATTTGTGTTTAGTTACGTGCAAACTTGTGTGTGCTACAAATGTGTAATGCCTCACTTCCAAAGCTGCTCTAGGCAAACTTATTGTTATAATTGCAGCCCACCACAGTATGCTCTGGTTTTTCTCTTAGCTTCCTCGTGGCCATCACAGGAGGAGGACCATGCACAAAGAGCACTGTGATGGCAGTGGCACCCAGCAAGCAATGGAAAGCTGAGCTGTCAGAGTTAAGTTTTCCTGCCAGCCTTTCGGTTTACTCCCTTTTGCACAGGCATAATGCACATATCTTTAATTCCACGATGATAAACTCTTTATCTGGCGGCTCCTGCTCACAGAAAAGACAGTGTCCGCTGAACAAGCAGCTGGGTGGTATTCAGCCGAGCGCATGGCTTCTCACTCGCTGCCCGCTGCTTTGCTCAGCGCGGTGCCGGAGGAGGTGGGAGGCATTGCTCTTCTGCAGAGGAGGAGCTGAGGCACGCAGAGATGACAGCTGAGAGCTGCCACCTGCTTCGGTGTGCCTGGCTGGACAGCATCTTGCCAGAGCATTTGGTGAAAACCCCTCAGAGCCCCCAGCCTTGCTGCGTCCTCCAGCCTCCTCCCTGCTGCAGGTCACCCCAGGGGGCTCAGCCACTCAAGAAAAAAAAAAGAAGCCTCAGAAGCCACCAGCCTGGATGGAGAAGAAAACCCACAGGGAGCATCCCACAGAGCCCACCAAGCCAAGGACTCCATCCCCTGGGGACAGCAGCCGAGGATACCAGGGATACCACCATACATCAACATATTTCCCCATAAATCACTATGCCTCGATATACCTCAACGCACACAGATAAAAATTAGGCTTTCAAACCCATGCCCTGCTTTTGGCAGTGGGGTCCGGGAGCCTACAAATCTCGCCCCCCCAGGCCGGGTCGAGGCCCCTCCGTGCCTCCCGGCCTCCCTTCCGCGGAGGCTGCGCGGGGGCGCAGTTTCGGGGGACGCCCAGCGGGTGGCGCCCCCGGGACGCCCACGGGGCTGCGCGGGGCTGCGCGGGGCCCCCCGGGGGGTGGTGGGGAAAAAATGCCAAATCGGTAAATTGTGATGAAAAAAGGAGCCGAATTCGCGTTCCCACCCCCCCCCCTTTTTTTCTTTTTTTTTTTTTTTTAATAAATTACATATATATTTCAAAATAATTAAGCTGATTATTGCTATTGTGGTTGTTGTTGTATTATTACATTTTTATTTTATTTTTTATTTTATTTTTTATTTTTATTATTTTATTTTTTGGTTTGGTGGTGTGGTTTTTTTGTTGTTTGTTGTTTGTTTGTTTTGGTTAAATTTCCACCCATTCCCATGCTATCTGCTGGGAACTCAAATACATCAGGAAGGTTATTTTCAACAATGTTTTTGACT